AAACTAGAAGAGTTTAGAATTGCCAAACAAAGGACTTTGAGCTAAAAAGAAAGAGAACAAGACAAGAGTAAGTATTGTTTTTTTTTAAAATGGTGGTTGTGTGCATTTTCATCATTCTAGTTTATTATTAAAAATAGATAGATTAATGAAAATATATCTAATGATTGTATCATTGAAATTGTTGATTGGCCTGGATATTATTACCAAAGTCAGAGCCAGAATTAATACTAATACTAGATTTACTTAGGAGTTATTTAAACAATTATTAAACAATTATTAAAGGCGTGAAAAAAATTCTAATTTTGGAATAGAACATTTTTTGTCCGATATAAATATTTTGAAAATCTTGACAACTATTTATTAGTCTTGGAAATCTTATTTATTTTGTCAAACATGCTAACCTACAGTTTTTCAAAAAAGGAAATCTCCAACATATTCTTTAACACCGTTTGTGTATATTGTTAATGGATAATGCCTGCTTGTATACAATCGTTTAAACATTGTGATCATTAGATGGAATTTCTTCAATAATATGAACAGAATAAATAAAAAATAAATAATGAATGTATATTAATATTAATAATATCTTACACATTATAAATATATATCCCATTTCATTATGTGTTTTAACCTGTAAATATAGTAATAACATAATAGATATTATTATTATGATCTTTTAGAAATGTCTAACAGTGTGAAGAATATTATGAAAGAGGGTTGATAAAAAACATTAAAAAAAAAAAAAAAAACTAAATAATGTTAATAAGCTTACCACAAGTGTAAGGGAAGGAAATGTGATTTATTAATCTCAACAGTTCATATAAAATATTGACAATGTAAAAGATCAGTAGTATTGTATAATAACAAAGTAAATTATAATAATAAAAATATAATAAAACATTAACAAAGGTACCTAAAATCATGACAATTTCAGAAAGCTCCATGCAGATTTACTGTCATCAACCTATAAACTTCGCTTCTTGTTCATCTCTGCAACTGAACTTGATTGACTTGATGGGAAAGAACTTTCAGTATATAAAACACCCAAATAATGTTTATGCAAAGTTTCATGCATATTTGTTTGTGGAATTTTTATGTCACATTAATGAGTACTTTTTCAATTAATTTTGTTAGTTGCACAATATAATATGATCATCACTTTATGTCACATTTAGTGTTAAAATCGAAAGTCCACTATGCTCCACCCCCAGGTAAGACATTTTGATCACGTGTATAACAATCATTTGCCTTTTTAGGTATCAACAAAGCACAAGCGAAAAAAGAATTAATTTTATTAATAAATCAAATATTTTAAAAGCGACATTGGAGTAAATAAATTTTCCTTTATAATATATCATGATCTCTTGGAATTTCTGGGTATGATTTGCATTGGCTATTTCTTGATGAAAAAACCTATTTGGTTCTGAGTGTAATAACTCCTATTTATTTGAAAATTACAAACAATGCATCCTACTAAAGGAAAATCTAAAGAACAAAACTCAAGGACTTCTTAATTACAACAAAAGTGGCCTCTTTTTGTCAAAATATATTTAAGGAAATGTATATCAAATAAAAATGATTAATTATAACATTTATTTATATAAAAATATGAGAATT